CAGCCTTTTCACACTTACATTTTTCAGGCCTGGGTGAACTTATACCCCTGGCAACAGAAAAAAAAGGCAAGCTCATTTCACGCTTGGTTTTATAAACCCAGAGATTCCAACAGCACCTGGTCGGAGGTCACACTTTAAATTTAGCATTTAACTTTGCTTTTCTGTAGCAGGTTTCAATCCACTGACCAATGACATGTTCAGTTATTCTGGTTTTAGCTGTGTAGGTTTTGTGGAGTAACCTTAAACCTGTTGTTGCAAAGAGGAGTTAACTTCTGGTCAACTTAGAAAGGAGGGAAAGTACCAAACTCTGAGCCTTATTTGGTCTCAACCAATGCCTGTGTAGTCAACAGTCCTGAAAGCTGGTTTGTAGATTTAAACCACTGCAGAGTATAAATCACACGTGAGAGTCTCAATAATCAATTCAGAGCAAGAGCTGATATTAATACTGACTGAATCAAAAAGATTATGGTCCAAAACACATGTGAAATTAAACTTTAAAATACATATATTAAAAATTACCCCACAGACAAACCTGAGAACATACTGGCTCAGCAACACTTCTGTCAATCATTAGAGATAATGGTGCCTGGTGGAGCAGAGTAATTGCTGAGGCAGCGCAGTCCATGGGTTCATGGCCGCTTTCCATTACGTGCAATATAAATTAGAGTTAAGTAAGAAAATGATCCAGCTCATTACAGCCAAAACCAAAAGCCACAAACACAGACACACTGACATATTAAGTAAAGCCAAGAAATACCAGCCAGCAGCTAAAAAACAACATTTACTCTAAGTCCACGACACCAAAAAGTTCTATAAACACACACAAACACAGAAAATCCCACATGGAGATGCATAACAATGCATATCTGATAATAATTCTGCCTGCAAAAGCTACAACTGTGCGCTTACTTTTTGCTAGCCTCACAGACGTCGCTGATGTTGGAGAAGAGGTGGTGGCGTTCGGTCTTGGTCATGGCCTCGCTGAGCTCCCCAGAGTTCTTGAACATGCGGATCAGGATCTCCAGACTGTGGAGGTAAGAGTGCTCCGACGAGATCACCTCGAAAATGGCCTTAGAGGGAGCAAGGGAGAGGAACAGAGAGAAAAGGGTGAGTTTGTTGTTTAGTTGACCATGTGCACTTTTTGCCTCAGTAACCCCTCCAACTCCTGGCTCAGTACAGGCGCATATACAGTATGAGGAAGGCTCCGACATGAAAACATTGGAGACACCTGTATCATGTTTGGCATGTAGCATTAACTTTAACCACCAATAAAGTCTCATCCTTTTTAACAATTGAATTGTTTTCTGAATTAACAGCGATACTTTGCCAGTGCATGGTCAGTTTAAAATGAGTTGCCGCATGTGAAGCCCAAAATTTGAACACAATGAAGTGTAAAATACTCCTACCTCTTGTCTTTTGCGTTCCTCCAGACTCATCCGGTCAGACAAACCATTTTTCTTGACCTAAACAGAACATATACAAGTCAAATACAAAGACACACATGTCTGGTTAATCTTTTTTTTCAGGTCAACTTGGGCCTTTTAGATTTATAGAATGTGTGTGTGTGTGTGCGTGTGTGTTTGTTTGTGTGTGCCACTTCTGTGTCCACACACAAAGAAAGGGCCACTTTGCATACCACACTGAATAGGGAGTCAATAAAGTGGTTGTAGGAAACGAAGGGAAAACAAACTGTTGAATTGAGAAAAATGCAGGAATTTGTTGTATCCACACAACACTAAAGGCAACATGGGGCAGCTCATGTGATCATTTTTGGAAATTTGTCCGAAATTTGTCCTAGCTAGAGTGTGCGTGTTAATATGTGGATGGCAAGATGGCCAGCAATCTTTTGGAATGGATAAGGTGTGGAGAGCTATTGAATTAATCACCCTGTGGCTTTTTAGACTGAAAGTACAGTTGAATGAGAAAACAAGCCTTTGTCTTATGTCTCACCAAAAAAAACCTATAATCTGACCTGAGGCACATTTACATTACATTTGACCAGATCACACATGCAGGCAGATATCCAGAGAGGCCACCTTCCCTTACTTCCATTACATTATCATGCTGTTTTAGTATAAAGGCACGAGGAAGTGATACTGTGTCCTGCAGGAGCTAGTATCTGCTAGTATCTGCCCTGAAGCCCTCAGCCAACATTGAGAACAAACAAACCTGCAGCAGATAAAACATCCACTGTGCCTCTTTCATTTCTATTCCCCTCACAAATGCATCGGTTTCATTATTTATCATTCTTCCTTTCACTTTTGCTAAAACTGCAATTCCCAAAAACAGTGACGACAACTATCACTCCATAGTTCAAAGTTTCCGTGCAACCTTCTGTGCCAACTAAACTTTATCCTGCTCCGCAGTTTCACTGGGTGTGGCTGGAACCGATACTACAGCAGCTAATTCCTGGATATGTGACATTTCTGGGATGTGACATTTCATCATGTCCTTAATGACAGAGGGATTCTACAGGGACAGGTAAAGGAAGGAGGAGCAGGCTGAGAGGAGACATGTTGGAGAGGCAAACCCCACAGGATGACAACTTGTATGTCTGGTTCTCGGCTTCACTAACACTAAGCTTATTTTCTGTCACATTAGAACAATGACTGAATCATGACAGCATTTCCTGCATTATTTGGAAGCTGAGGAAGAAACCCTCAGAATTTTGTGGCAAAACAATTTCACACTAACTGACTCCAGCACAGCTGTAAAGCAGCTGTGCTGGAGAAGAAGGGTTACTAGGAGAATCTGTGTAATTCGGACTGTGCTCAATTCATCTTATCTCACTGACGGACATTTTGTGAACATTCTCTAGCTTCAATCCAATTTAACATTATTTAGAGTCAGTCTGTGTATTATTCTCTGCCTGGCAATTTAAGAACTATTCCTAAATTGCTCCGTCTCAGCAATCAACTGTTTTTGCTCCCACACTTTCCCTTTTTAACAAGTAAACAAACAGATGGGAATGCCAAAGTAGAGCACTAAATTATCTCAATCGCTTCCTTTATATTCGTATATCATTCCATTCCAATCCCTGACTATATTATGTAATGAAGAGCCACCACACTTTTCTTCAGAGGCCACATCTTGAGCATATTTGCAATCCGACAAGTGTGTAGAGTTTGCTAACACATTGGCATTAGCCCAAGCAGTGCATCCAAGACTTCCTGTGGGTCTGCCTCCCGTCTGCCTCCCCGACCATCCAACTCCTGAAAGAAATGCTCCTGTACTCCTTGATAAACAGAGGCGGGGGCAGAGGGAGGCACAGAACAGTGGGAGGATGGTTATGGACTGTGGCTAAACTGGATGTGACTGCATTCTTCGGAGCTCTAGAATTCCATAACTCCCTAGCCACAGCACCGAGTGTTCGTACCACTGTATGTTTTTCTGTTTACTGGATGTAAGGATATAGAAGAAGCGGAAGAAGAGAGATGGAAGCTGTGTTTGTGTGTAATGTCTGACCACACTGAGCTGGCTCCAGGAGGTGCGTATGGGTCTGTACTGCACCACGATGCCATTATCAGCGCTGGGCTCTCTGGAATCAGCATCTTCATCTGAATCATTATGCAGGGCCTTCTCCTTATAGTTCTGATACAGTTCCTCCTCTGAAACGGAGAGACCCATCAAGATATTGTTTGTTTAAGAGAAGGAAAGGGAAACTGTAGAAGAGTAACACTGGAGGAAAAAGTGGGTGTTGAAAACAGATGGTCATTTCTCACCCTCGCTGTCAAATGTCCGCTGAATGGTCAAAACTTTCTTCTTATCTGGATTCTAGAAGAGAAACGCAGCAAAAACTATTTAGTGACTCGAGCAAACCAGCAGTATTCACACATACTTAAAATGGAACAGGATTGTGAGCCTATGTCACCTGTCCATGACCTGTTCATGCCCTTCCTGGTGACATCTTTCAATGACCCCCGTCTAATTACAGAGTCATTGTGTGTATGAGTGTGTATGTGCACGCATGGTGTCACATTACGTCATGTCTCCCAACAACCACATTAATTGTTTCCTTGTAAGGCCTTGTCCCAACCTCTGCTGCTGCTGCTACGTTTGCTATACAATACTTAGTCTGTGGACTTTACCCCCCCCCCTCCTAATATTGAAAAGTGTGTATCATAGCAATCTTCCATTACATTCAAATTCAGATTGATTTTGATTGACTGAATCTGGAAATCTTAATCTGCTGCAGCCAAGGAAAAACATAAAAAATGCAGTAAAAAGCAATTCAAAAACACTGGGTATAAAGAGTCTGTCTGTTTGCATCAGTAGCTTAAAACTTATATAGGGTCAGTTGGGATGTTAGTACATATTAAGGCCTTATACTTCCGAGATGCAGACGTGTTGCAGGACAAACACCTTACCCACCTTATTTTTCCCAGCACAGATAGGCTTTTCAGTCCCAGGACTAGAAAGCTTTAACAGCCTGGGGCTGGCTGGTTTGGGTATCCAAGGACTGGCAAGCTTGGGTGTCGTAGGGCTCCTAGGTTTGGGTGTTCCAGGGCTGGAGAGGCTTAAAGTGCCAGGACTTACTGGGCTTCTTGGTGAAGCTGGATTTTCTCCATC